GGTCTGGCTAGAGCTGAGTGAAGGGGAACCAGCACTGCGTTTGTTTTGGAGGTGATGCTTCTGTTAATGCAGCCCCAAATCGCGTTGGCCCTGTTTGCAGCTACATCACCTTCTTGGCTCTTATTCAGCTTGTGATCTACAACAACCCCGAGACCCTTCTCATTTGCAGTATCGCTGGGCCAAGTACTTCCTGTCCTGCAGTGGCACATTTGGTTTCTTGTTCCCAAGTGGAGGGCTTGGCCTTTGTTTAAAGAGCGGCCCTGCCCAGTTCCAGTTTAAAGATTAAACCCCACAAACCATCAGATCTCTTGCATGTTCCCCACTGGCACTGGATAGTGGCCTGAAGGGCAGTTTCCCATATCGTGAGGCAGGCCGTTCTCTCATCATTATAATAATGTTTTCTACATGGGCGTTTATCTGTATAAATCAGCACAGGCAAATGTTACACAGGTAGCAGTCCTCTTCAGGAGCAATTCGTAAGTGGCCACCCTGTGCATCCGCAGTGAAGATGGAAACCTTTATTCCATGCAACGATTTCTCCTCCCACCTGGAATGTCTGCCCCAAAGAATTCCCAAATGCATTTCCCAAAAAACAGCTCTTCAAAGAATCCATCTTCCCATCATTAGCGCTGCCAGTGAATTCTGCCCACTTGGTGAATATTGGCGTACTTTCCTCCACTCCATTTCTTTGCCTATTCTATCCACATATGTTCTACAAAATATTTTGCCAATGAACTGTTTCTTTGCACCTTCCAGCAACCTCTCTTCACTGCAGCGGGTACCTATTTTGGAAATAAACCAAAATTCCAGTAATTCTCCAAGATATTCTACAGGATTAACTGCATTGGCTCGTTGCAAAAAGCACAAATTCCTGGAGGCATTTGAAAGACACACCGATCTGTTGTGGCTGAGCCCTGCTTGAGTGAAGGCTGATCTCATGGAATACCTGAAGTCTCCTTTCTGCACCTGGAGGAGGCTCTTGCTCGTGAGCCTTCACATCACAACCAACCAAACCGGCAAGAAGCCAGGTAGAGCTTGCTCTGACACGTGCACCGGAATGAGATGGTCATGGAGGGGAACGGTCCTGCCACAGTGGAATGGACTGCATCATTTCGGACAAGAAGATCACCTCTGATTTTTTGAAAACGCTCTGCAATTAGAAAAGTGGCACAGCAGGGACAGGGAAGGCTAGAACATCTGTTCCTGACGTGCGAGATTTTTCATTGCAGGGCTTTCCGTGGGAGCATTCCCCCTCCCCGCCTGCTCCAGCGCACTTTCCATCTTGTCAAGCCAAGCCTTCCAGAGGTGAGCAGGGGACTTCAGAATTTTGCTCCAGGTCCCACCTGGCCCCTTTGCCTGGGCCAAGGCACAGGCTCGCCAGGCTTGTGGATTTTACATGCCATCAGCGTATTCCGATGTTTCCCAGGCAAATTTGGCACTCAGCCACACTTCGGAGCAAAGATCGCTGCTTCTGTTCCTCTGATTATACTTCTTTATCCACCTCCTGCAACTCCTGTGGATAGACGCTGTCGGAGCGACAAGAGTTAGCACCAAATCAGGCTGCCAAGCGTTGCATGTGACAGATTATAACCCTGAAGATAATTACCCTTACAGATATAAATGTGCATTCAAATGGAAACTGTGGCCAAAGGCCGCAGCTTCCCATGGGAAGAAGTTTTGCAAGGGCTCAGCATGGCTGAATTCTGTCCTTAAAGTGTGTCTGCGTTTTAAGGTACCTTGTTCAAATTTGTATTTTAACACCATGAACTGACTATTTAAAATGATCGAACTTGTATTTACCATTTTTATAGGCCCCACTTCCTAGCAAGCATGGAGCATGGATTATCCACCCATGGATTTTTAATTCTTAACTTTCCAAATACAAACGCACAAGGAAACAACACAATAAAATACACCAAGTTTAATTCTAGTTGTGGGCAGAGGGCGGTCTATAAAACATTTTCCCACGTCGGTTTAGAGGCGGAAATCTGGCTGGCTTCTTACTGGCTGCTCGGAGGTGATCTTTACGGTGCACAGAAACAAATTATATTTAGTCTAATTTCCATAATGTGCAGAAAGGTTTTGCTAGATGCTCCTGAAGATGCTGCTGATTTGGTTATTAAATAACATGATGCCATATTGTGTCCAAGTTAAAAAACCCTCAGATGTTTTCGCTTTGCTTTTATCTAATATCAGATGCTGCATAACGTGTTCTGCCGAGGCTATTTGGCTTCGCTTGCAAGACTTCGCTTTTAGGACCCTGCCATTTTCTAACTTTCCCCATGACACTGTGAATGTGCCCGGGAACACCCCCCCCCGCCGCCCCATGGTGTCCTCCTGTTCGCCTCCCCCAGTTCCACACGCGCTCGGCATTGCTGGCCTCTGGCTGCTTCTTCTGAAGAGCAACACTTGCACCTTGTGCAGGTGAATCTTGGGCTTGTCCTGCTTGAAAGCCATGAAACCTACTTCTGAGCAAATAGATGCGTGGCCAGCCTCAGAGGAGGGCAGGTGTGGGGCAGCGCTAGGAGGGGGACCCAAATCTTCCATTTGGAGCCTGATCTCTGGGATCCCCCCCCCCGCCCCACCATCCTGCTGTCCATGGGCACTTGCCAGGAAGAAGTCCAGGGCCCCCAAAGTGTCTGCCGTATCTGATCCTCTCGGGCTGGCTGCCCACCTTCATTTTCTGAAATCAAATCGGCCCTGTGCACAAGCTCTTTTACAAACCGGAGACACAGTCCTTCAGCAACACACACAGGTACAAGGAGAGCAGAGCGCATATGTAACTGGTGGGCCTGTCGTGAGCGGAGCGGGCTGGTGCTGGGGGTCAGACTAGCTGACCCGGGAGGCCCCTTCTGCCTCGCTCTGTTTCTATGTTTCTAAATAAGGATAGGCAAGTGTGTACTTTTTTGTCCCATGGGCCTCAGGCCCCGATCTCTTCTCTTCTTGGCCTGGATCCTGGATTGTGCCTGGTCATGCGAATTAGCGTGGGGGGGGTGGGGTTGGCCACATTTGCCTGTGATCCTAAACTTTCTAGGGTGCTTAAAACCAAAACGGGTTGTGAGCGCTCCGAAGGGATTTCTCCAGGCCGGGAGCAGGGGCATCAGCGTGGCAACTGCCGTTCAGAATAAGCAGCATGCAGTGATGCATTCTGGGGCACAAGTCCCTGCTTCAAGTCGTGGCTGATGGGATCTGAGCTAGCAGGGATGGAGCAGGAAGGGGATCTTGGGGGGGGGGGGGGGGTGGACAGCTCCATGGAAACGTCAGCCGGGGCTCT